ACAGGTATCATTCATGGATGTGCCTTGATTTATATGGGTGTAAGCACATTATTTGCATTGAAAAGGAGGGTCCCAGACGATGACAAATGGATATGCAATGGCAGACTAAAGGAATTGGGTTTTTCCACGGTGAAGTTCATAGCAAAGTTACTGCATGTGTTGGGGGGATTCATGCAGTGCCTATTAGTGAAGYATTCTTGAAGTATTCTTTGAGAGGGTCCAGTGGAGAGCAAGAAAGATGGTTAAGGGAGYGGAGCACCTATCGTACGAGGAAAGACTTATGTGAGTTGGTGCCTGTTTAGCCTGGAGAAGAGACGGTTGAGAGGGGGATCTGATTAATATGTATGAATATCTGAGGGGAGAATGTAGGGAGGATRGSRCAAGCTTATCTCAGTGGTGGCCAGTGATAGGACAAGGGGGAATAGGTGCAAGTTGAAACACAGGCAGTTCCATCTCCATGTGAGGAAGAACTTCTGCACTGTGAGGGTGACAGAGCCCTGGCACAGGCTGCCCAGGGAGGCTGTGGAATCTCCTTCTCTGGAGGTCTTCCAAACCCGCCTGGATGCCGCCCTGTGCCCCGTGCTCTGGGTGTCCCGGCTGGAGCAGGGGGTTGGACTGGGTGATATCTAGAGGTCCTCTTCAACTTTAACCATTCTGTGCTTTATTGCAAAGCTTCATTGAAAGTTATATAACACATTTACTAAATGTTATCATCACCTTGGAATATTTTTTTCTTAATTTGCACAAATCAGAAWATTAAGTACTAGTAACACACCAATGGCCTCTCCTTAATCACCAAAGAAGGTTTGAGCAGTGGGGTTGGACTAGATGATCTCTAGAAGTCCCTTCCAATCTCAACCATTCTGTGTGATTCTCCCTGCAGCCAGGGACCTGGACCGATGCATGTACGTGTGGCAACTCAGTCTGTGTTGCCACTTTCTTTCTGGGGTTGGCTTTCTGCTGAGTGAAGACCGTGGCTGTGGCTGGTTCTTCTTATAGACCAATGACTGTGGGGAGAGCTCTCCTCCTGAGAGGGGCAGGAGGTGGGAGCCAGAGGGAGGGTAAGGTGAGAAGAGAGTGACTGCTCCCTGCCTGCACACCCTGCCSGTGGCAATTGACCCAGCACACCCTGCTGGCCGCACCACGCTCCTGGTCGCTTGGGGGCTGTGCTTTTATACCGTGGGATTGGGATGCCTTCCCTGCTAGCCCTGCATGGTGCAGCAGAGCTGCCTGGTCCTCAGGCTCCCTCACTCCCCTGTGCTTGTGCCTTCACTTTGTGGCTTTTGCCGCCTATTTAGCTGCTCTAGGAGAGGCTGCCTGGCACAGGCCTMCGTCCCTGAGCACTTCCCTTTGTAGCCATATCTTTTATATCCTAGGGAGTGGTCGTCTGATATCTTCCTGCTGGGCTAAGAGGAAAAGKAAGCCTCCTGTTTTAAATCATCCATGCTCTGGGCAGAGGGTGAAGATAGAAATTGGACATCAGACAGGTTCAAGCCCCTACCAAAACTATCTGGATTTATCTGCTCAAAATTATCTCCTTTAGAGCAGTCAAGAAAGCCTAGGTATGAGTCCAAAGCCCTCCTTATTTAAGGCACAGATATCCATGGCCTTTTTACCATTAAACTGTCCCAAGGAATGGGATGGTGCTTGCTATGCCTATGTCCACATTTCTGGAGCCCTCCTGGGCTCCTCCATACATTAAATGTGCATTTTTTTGCTTGTTTTATTTTTTTCTTTCCCCGTTGTTCTAAGTATCTGAGTGTACAGAACAGAGCTGCTAGATCTGATGAATAATGCCAACAAGAGAACCTGGAAAGGAAGAGGGCTTCTTCCTTCCTTGGGAGGAAACTAGAGATGGGCAAGGAAGGGGTAGGTCTTAAGTAATCGGTGAAGACTACCAGTAAACTTGGAGTGGACAGGGACAAATGGAAAGTTAAATGGAAAGTTCTTTTAGCAGACCAGCAGATGCAAAARGTAAAAGTCTTTTTATATTAATCATAGAAGAAAAATACACAAAAATATTTTTCTGAGCTTGTTTCACTTTTTTTTTCCTCTGCAAGTTCCTAGCTCAGTTCAGCCATGCCTGCCAAATTTTGCCAAGGCTTCTTTGGAGCTGGCAAGTACAACACTGAMTCTCTGATTTAAGAGAGCCCTTGAAGTTTGTTGAGAAAACAAGCAAGTAGAAACCTCAGATCCTAAAATGTGGAGAGTTCTTTGTTCCAGCTCCTTTTATTTTTTTCCCCCGCAATTCTACTTGTGCTGATTAAGGAAAGTCCCTTCTATAATGAATTATTTTCTTTACTCTTCCTTTTCCCCATGCTTTACTGTTGACAGGTTTCCTACTTCTGTCTTTGATTGCTGGACTGATTATGTCTTTTAACCAGAACCATTTGAGACAGTAACCTATTAAAAGWTTAAAGGAAAATGATATGATTCAGTCTTATTATTTATCAGGGAAGGAAAATAAAGAATTAGACTAAGACTAGAATCAGTGGCACAGTTTCCAGTGAAAGAAAGAGTGGTAAGTTTTACAGAATATATCACTGACTGGAGGCTTACATCAATTCTGTAGGCTCTGCGGATCTCCCTCCATTCTCTCTGTGGGCTTATGAACTAGAGTGCTCCCCTTAACTATGAGGTTCATGCAGCCTTACCAGCTGTCAGAAATGCTCGACCAGCTCACTTCACAAACTCTTCCTGGAGATCCAACGGGACCTGAGGATCTGCTACATATTTTGCCAATGATTTGAACTCACGTCCACTCGCAAGCCACATGTTTTYGCTATTTCAAACTTTCCTCTATAAACAAAGCAAATGCTAAATGTTTTTCAGTTTCATATCTTGGCCAGTTTTCACAACATAGAGCACCACATTTTCAAGCAGAGAAAGTTAACAATGTGAGGAAAAAAGAGACATTGCCTGTGCTTTCMTAACAGCTGGGATAGCTTTCCTGCATACCAAGATGTCTATCTGAAAGTCCAAACAGAAAACAAACAAACAAACACACAAGTGTTTCATTTTCATGAMTGACAAATTCTTTACTTTCATTTCTGCTCTGTCCCACTAGAGGGTACTCTGCTATTATAAAAAAGTATTTGGCGTTGAGGTTGCGCCACCAACTGAACTGCTAGAAAAGATTCTGTAACTTCATTGAAAAGCCACTTGTAACACAGCTCATCCTCTAATGTTCTGATGCAGACAACAGTAAAGGAAGCTGTCCGTTTCSAACCATTAAAAATACTAGTTCTTATGAAATACGTGCCTTGAGATAGTTGCACAGGTTTTGCTATATTTGCAACCCAGGTTCTCCTGCCAGATTCCTTGTGAAATATCAAAACAGAGCACGAAATAACAACTCAGGATTATGTTTCCAAAGACTTCTATACACAGACTTACATTTGACAGCCTTACTGAAAAAAGAAAGCAAAATGAATAGTTTAGATGGAGAAAAATCACCCAGGATCACAGAATATGTCTGGAAGTGACCTGGGGAGGTCACCTAGCAGGTCCAGCTAAAACAAGGTGCTCCAGGTGAGYTTTCATTATCCACAGGGGTGGAAATTGCCCAGCATCTCAGGCCAGCTGCTCCAGTGTCCTCCCTCAAAGGATAAACCCTTTCTCATGTGCCCACTTGTGTCGCTTGTCCTGCTGCTGCACACCTCCGAGGGGAGGCTCSTGCTGTTGTCTCTGCGATCCTCACCTGCTTCCCCACAGCCCTCACACAGCAACGTGTGACYATGTGTTGTTGGAAAGGAGCAGAGTGAGGTGGGCACCCTCCTCGCAGGAGGCTTTTCCCTGGTCCATGTTCCCAGCTCAGTTGCTCACGTGGGAGCCAGGTGGCCGCTTGGCCACCTTGGAGCCGGGGCTGCCCAGTGCAATGTGGGCTCCGTGTCAGCCTGAATTTGGCTYTGACAGGTGCTTTAAATACACTGCCTAATGGTCCAGCTCAAYAAGGTTCATCAGCTGGCTGCTTGTTCTGCTTGTAACGTTGACTTCTAGTGTCTGGCATTGTCTCAAATTATAACAGAGAATCATTTATGTTAATAGGGCTGTAAAAGAGGCCTTTTGGTCCTAAGATGTTTTCAAGGAAAACTTTGGGGAAGGACTGTTTTGATCTGTACTGAGTTTAGGAAGYGAAATATAAATGTAGATGAGGCACTTAGGGAGCTGGTTTAGTAGGCATGGTGTCAAAGGGTTTATGGCTGGACTCRATRGTCTTGAAGGTCTTTTCCAACCATCATGATTCTATGACAAGATGGGTGGTAACTGGTGGGAGAGGGAAAGAGCACGGGAGCACAGGCTTCAGCACCTCCTGCTGCAGGAGCCAGGCATTTCTTCCCGGTAAGAAAGCAGGGGCCCTGTGTTAGGACCACTAGCCTGACCCTTGGGWCTGGAGAGCTTGCTCAGGCCCCCATTGGGCACCAACCTCCATTTCTCAATCCCAGCTCCTGGGGAAGACTGCTTTTCTTCTCCCACTCAACCCAGGGAGAGCAAGGACAAGAAAACCATGGTAGGGATATTCCAGCTACACCAGACAGCAGGCACTCTGCTACACTTGAGTGCCTATGAACAGCAAGGAAAGAAGGTGATGGAGATAAAACGAGGGAGCTAAGAAATTTATTTTTAATGGAGAAACTTGAGTAGGAAACTCTGYGTGTCGTGTTCTTCTCCCCCAACAAAGGACAATACACCTTTCAAACACTGTAAACTCCACACAGTCATTCAAACACAGCTCCCCTCCRAATGTCTGCTCACTTACTGGAACTGATTTCTGTGGTGAGGCTGTGGAGCGCTGCTTCTACCGAAGGACACCGTTGAGCTACAAGTCTTTCATCCTGAGAGGTGYCTCAGTTTTCTCTGTTCCTCAGTCATAGCATAGCCCATCACTGTTTTCTCAGTAGTCAGCTGATGGCACTTATTCTACCCACAGACAAATCATTGGCATTACCCTTCAGGTTCCCTGCTTCCTCTGAAAACAAATGCGTGCAGTTTTTGTTCTTTCAGGTTGCCAAATGCGGTGACCTATTGCGAAGTGGAGATCCTGGGGTTTGCTTCTGTAAAAGAACCATCAGAGCAGTGTAACCATGACTCAGCTCAATATGATCTACCAGCAAGAAATGATGACAAAACAGAAGGGCTCCTACCCTAGTCCTACCCACAAAACAGGACTAGCAAGAGCTTGAAAGGAGAAGAGCAAGTCTGAAAAAAAAGTCAAAGGAAAGTGAGAAGCTACCATCTGTGCTCACTAATTTTGTCAATGGATGCCCCTGTCATACCCATGCGTGTTTGTGCCTGTGTGACCAGCAGGATGGGAGAGCGAATTCTGGGAAAACATCCTTGAGAGGTTGCCAGTTACAGAGCTCAAGCTCCACAGTGCTTCATCAGTTCCTTCCTTCTTCTCTCTCTGCCCTCCTTGGCATTTCCAGTACCTTTTCCCCTACTTTCCAGCTAGATGATGGCTAACTTTTCCCTGTTAAGCTCCAGGCCTTGGCCATCACTTCGCAAGTCTAGATGGGGCACATACATCAGATAGCTGTAATCCATCTGGCATGGTTATTTCACCATGGCTGGTGCTAGGTCACCACACAAGGCTCCACAGGAGGCCTGTAAGAACYTGCTAATTCTCCAGCAGTGGTGCCCATCACTGTTTGGCAACTTGCCTAGTGAGATGGACCTTCCTGAGACACAGCTGCAGCACAGCTTGTGGCAGGGAAACAGTTCTCATGTGGACCTGTGGGGAAGTGGCACATCTCTGGGGGTCGTGCTGTGTGTGACAGCGTCAAAAGGATGTGAATAAGATTGGCTTTCCTMACTTTTCTCTGTCACCTAGGTTGTCTCCTACCATTGCCAGTATTCAAACCCAGGATCTTAGTGATGTGCTACCTTCCAGGTAACATAAAGCATCAGATACATTCATGAAAAGTACTGCCAAGACTTTTGAAGGGCTCTGAATTACTGCTGGAGATGCTAAGCATTTGAATTACCTCACTGCGATTAAACATTATGCTGGTCCTTCTGGGTATGCAGGCTSTGGTCTTGTTTCCCAGGATCTTGGTGTAAGCCTTGGCTTTCTGCAGTTGTGCTGGATGCTCTGCGACACTGCAGCCTGAAATAACATTAACAAGTTACGTGACACTTAGAAATCTCCTGGTTTTTAGAGCAAGTCTTGATGTTTTATGACTGCTGTTACTAGCTGAATAGACATGTACATCCTGTGCAGGCCTGCAGAAGACACCAACAGGCAGCACAAACTGCCATACTGCTAAACTGCACCAGGGACACAGGCAAGCGATGCCATTGACAAGAAAATGGAAGCTCTCCTTACTTTTTTCTCCTGTTGATTAGCTTCATGATGCAAAGTGTTGAGCTCATGAAGGACAGAGTTGTTACAACTGCCATGATGATTACACTCTTCGGAACACCTACAAAAACAACACGAAAAATCATGCAAACATGGTGGGATGTTAGTATGTTCCTCATGTCCTTTGCTAGAGGCTGGGATTGAGAGGKAACATCAATCTTCCTTTCTTGAAGAAAAGAACAGTTTAAGAACGTAACAGTGTGGTGGGTAAACAGCATATTTTATTTTGAAGTGAATACCAACATTTTCTCACATTTCCCTAGTTTGATGGTGTCAGGGAAAGGTTTATGAGGCGTTACAGGAGTATTCTGGAAAAAGAGATGGGCCGTTGCCTTCGGCTCCCGCCTTGGCATCTGTCCACCCACCGTATGATGACTGAGGAGTTACTGTACCTGAGGAGACGGAAYGGATTCATGCCTGATCCACAATGGGCCAAAACGGAGAAAGAAAGTTTAAAGGATTCTAACCCGATGGATAAAACCAGCCTTGCAATCTACATCATCGCAGCCTGCCCCCTTGGAATCAACGCCTGGGCCCCAAGAAGAGGGACCGGGAGTAATGTATGGGTTACTTTAGCTCAGATGTTGAACTTAACCACGATGTATCTACCTACAGCTATGCCTGCGGCCCCATTTTTCACATGCCTGGTGGGAATGCCTGCCGGCAGATGGGAATGGTGGGTGGTCGCGGGTCATGCTCGGTATCAGCGGTTTAATTGTAATGACACATGTAAGTTATGGGCCGGCGGCAACAACGCAGTAATGGTCAATGGGACCGACTTTGGAGGAAACTGGGCAAAATATTGGTGTAATAAAGGTAAACTTAAGGATGTGGGGTGCAGCGGTGGCGTTGAGATGGGGAAGGAACCAAATCTCAGATGGAACTGGCTTAATGGGACATCAGAAACCCCACAGAACCAGCAGAGCTAGATGAGCCCCAAAGAATACCCTGATATATCATTATAAGGTTATACTTGCAAGAAAACAAAAAAGGGGGAGATGTCAGRGAAAGGGTTAAACTGAGAAGCAGTTGGGGGAAGGGAAAACAAGGCGCACAAAATSGAGGAGCTAAAGCCACCAGGCTGCAGGGAGGCAGCCWCGAGGAAGACCGCTGGAGGACCATATAWGGCAAGAGGCTACMGGCCTTCTGGTGCCTGGACTGTTGCCAGTACAGGGCGCGGTCCGGTCGGGTGATACGGCATAAAAGGGAACAGTTAGAGCATTAAAGGAGCTATTTGTTCACCCCTGCAAGTAGTCCACCAGAGCTTCCTTGGGGGAAACGACCGACACCATATGATGGTTGACCAATATTCCCACTCCTAATTTACATACTTTTCCTTTTCTTAATCATAAATTTTATCATGAGGGACATCTCCCATCCTTTCTAATAGATCAGGTTCTCCACGCTCTTCTATGCWTAATAGTCTTCCCCAGCATTTGACAGCTGGATGCTTGCTCTGCTAGTACACTTGTCTGTGGATACTGYGGGAGAGTTGGTCCCACCAGCTACATATCCATGCATATATTTATGCATATATGCACATACACATTGCACAGAGGTGCACATACCAAGTATGGAACCTCCTGGATGTTTTCAAACCATGGAACTTCCATCCAACATAAGGAGCAAGCTAATAGAAAAACATTTAGCAAGATCTACCTAAGAAAAGCTTCACTCCCACTATTGCAATCTCAAGTGTCTATCCAGATGGCAGCCAGATGATGGGTGACTGCATGGAACATTTTCCTTTTCACAAAACTATCTATAGATATATCTCTCCTAAGTACTCGCCACCACATGCCACACCGCTCCATCCAAAGSAACCTACCTTCACTTTCTTTTTCTGGGTAGATTGTCTTCATTACTCTTCCCTGAGGATGGTCCAGGAGGCAAACCATGGCTTGGAGATGGTGGGCAGGAAAGGTATGTCTGCTTACCACCGTTACTGTTCCATTTACATTTAGAACACGGTGTACTTCAGAGGGCTCAAGCTGTTGTCCATCACCCAGCCAGGTGACTTCGGGGGGAGGCTTTCCTGTTGCCCAGCAGACTGCGGTGASGAGGCCCTCACTAACGAGGTGTGGTCCATACTCTACTACTAGTCCAGAAACTGCTGAAAGGAGAGAAAGAGAACGTGCTGTTTACCCTCTGTGGTGAAGTAGTGGTCAAAGCAGGAAAGGTGTGACGGATATGCTCCTTTCCCAGCTCAACCTGACCTGTACCTTACATGCAGCCCTGTTCAGTTGCTAACCACCTGCAATTTATCTAATCCTGGTAGGCACCACCATTCTGATTTCTTCTACCACTCAGACACAATGTAACAGTCCTGAAGGCTGCATCCCAAAGGGGAGGTAAAGCTAATGCACTAGCCAAGGAGCCTCTGAAATGAAAGAATGACTATAAATCAATCATCTTACCTATAAACACAGGGACAGCCCGAGAGCCCCTTGAGCTCTCCTGGCACGGCAGTGGGCTGAACAGCAGGATCTCCCCTTGAGCAAGGACTCCTCTCAAGGTTACTCCTCGAGGTTGAGAAACCTCCCTTTCCACAAGAGATTTGTGGTAGTGAATATAGCGCGCTCTATTTCTTTAACTTTACTTTGTAACTGTGCACAAGAACCCTTAGTCATAAACCGTTGACCAGGTCTGGGACTAGGATTGGATCCAGCCACACCCAAACTCCTCTCAGAAGGAGCCTGAAGAGCAATGGGGTCCAATCTGAAGCTCGTGACCCAATGGGAGGGTATCCCAAGATAACTGTGTATTATCTTGAGCGTCCATGCAGTGTATAATAGGTGACCTTGCCAGTGAATCTCGTGAAATCATTGTCCRTATTAATAAATGCTATTATTATTTCTTTCATATGAGTGAAGTGCATTTTGTCACTCACCCCCTCACCTCCGCCACCACTCGTTCCGTGACAAAAGGTCAGCTCTCTACTTGGAGTTTTTAAATCTAAAAATATTTTCTGGCTTCTTTACCTTCACTGACTTTGAGGAAAGATATTGCAGTTCTGGACAACACCTACTGARGAGATGCTACTGGATAGAACATTCTCATGCAGTAGAGGGGTAAAAATTTACACACCTCTGCCTCCACACTATACAGTGTGCCAGAAAGTAAGGAAGTGTTACTGGAAGACTTACTTTGGACATTGAGGCATATATCTTTGCTGAAAGATCCATGAGGGAATACACTGAAGATGCATCTGTAGTAGGATTCATCCTCTAATGTGACATTTTGGATTGTGATTGCTGAGGCTTTCAGTGCTGCACTGCTGAACCATGCCTTCTTTTGGAATGACCCGATCAGTCTCGCCCCCCAGTTTGGGCTGTAAGTGGCTATGTTCTCAAAGAAAGACCCATTTCTCTTCTGCCAGGTGACTTGCAGAACATCCATTGTGAGTGTGAAGTTGCAATGGAGGTTTGCCTCTCCCCCAAGGGCTGCTGCAACAACATTTTCAGACTTCACTGCTTCCTTCAAACCTAGGAACAAAACAAACCTCAAAATCAGTAAAAAAGAGAATTCAGTTAMCTCAGGAAAGGTTGGAGTGCCTTGAAGCACCTGGCCAGATAAGCTCCCATCTGGCAGAGCTCAGACATGAGAAACTCCACCAAGACACAGTGCTGAGTGCTTGGACACCTCGAGAAACCTACGTCTTGTATGTGACTGACAGCACAAACCCGGGCTAAACATTTCTGAGCCATAAGGCAGTGCTGTGATGAGCAAGAGTGCATCACAGGAACAGCTGATCACCTTGACAGCAGTGCCAGAGAGAGACTGCAGTTCTGGCTCTGCAATGTGTTTAGGCTTCTCCGTTTGCCCTGAGGGTGAACAGACACCACAGCAAAGCCAAGACACTGACTCGCCTGCCCGCTCCACATGTTTCACCTCTGGCATACAGGCACTGCCACTGGAGGAAACATGGGGCCACCATCCAGGCTGATGGCTGGGAGGCGGGATGGGRCAAATGCATCCTCCAGCTTCTTGGAGACCTAGTGCTCTTCTCTCCTGGCCACGCACCTTCTCCTGGAGAGGACTGCAGTGCTGGTACCCTACAGAGCAGCCTCCATGTGACTAATGAGGTCCACAGGTACCATTTGGTCCTCACTGCTGAGCATCTCTAATTCGACCCCTCCACAGCCTAATCAGAGATGCTCAGCAGAAAATTTGTGCTAGCGCACAGTGGATACCATACCAACATAACTCCTTTTCTTCTCAGCTGCTTAAAGCACCGTGTCAGGTTTGAAACCTCCCAGTCCTTTCCTTGAGACAACCCTCCCCTCCTTACCAAAAATGTGCAAAGAAAGCAAATGTGGGAGGCATCTGGGGAAGGAATGGATTACAACTGAAGGAGAAAGGATTCAAACTTCTGCAGCTTAACTTAGGGGGGTGGCTGAGTGGGAAGGCCCACTGGCAGAAGCAACTTGTTTTCCTGACCAGAACCAACGTGAATCTGTTCCCTTGGTGTGCACTGAGCACGTCAGCAACAGATGCTAGGTGTCTGTGCAAGCCTTCTCCCAGCAGCAGCAGCAGCCCAGCTGATTCCTCTTCCCTCTGGGCAGCATCAGTGAGACATTCAGAGGGACATGGAATCAGTAGGAGATCTCCACAGAAGAATGACCAGACCTGCCATATAAACGAGGGAACAAGCTCTTTCCAAACCTAACATTAGCAATTGTTTCCCCATTCAGTGCTGCAAGGGACAGTACTTTGCTGGGAGTTCACCCTCTCAACTCACACTTGCCTAAGAGAGGTCAGAGGTGTCCTGCACAGACGTAACGTGCAGTTATCAGCCGGATTTGAGGCACGCATCAAGGCAGGTCCTGGCCCTCAGAGCATTTCTATTCCTCTCTCCTCAGCAGGTGCACAGGCTGAGAGCGAGCAGTGTGCTGGGAACGGGACATTGCCACTCACCCATCCCTGGCTTCTCGAGCTGGCAGCCCCCGCAGAGCAGCAGCAAGCAGATCCCCGCACAGCAGATCCAGAGGAAAACCATTGCAGGGCAGCGCAGGAAAGGCATCAGGAAAACTGCTGCCTTTACCCAGCTCCCTCCGAGAGAAAGCCACCTGGTAAGACAGGGAGACTTGGCGCCTCTTTTCAAACTGCTGAGAATAGCCCAATCAGTGGAGATGGGCAGGGCACACAACTGCTTTGCTCCCGGGAGCAAACCCGCCCTTCAGAGTCCAGGGAGGCAATTCTGGAGCGGTGGTAATTGACCTGGCTGCGCAATCAAGTCTGCAGGTGAGTTTGTTCAAAGCTCAAACAATGAGAAATGAGTAGCAGTCGTGCCCTCCATTCCCCCCAAAAAGGTCAGGAGAGCTTGACACTCTTCACCGCTTGTTAAGTCCACTTTGAGGAGCTTCACAGTGTATGCGATTTGTACAGGTTCGTATCTTGCTATGTGCAAACATTGTGCAAAGCGCTCCCTCAGGAAGGGCACATGTTTATTGGTGGGAGAGGGAAGGAACAAGGCGCCATCTGAGAAGTCAGATTACAAGAGAGGAATCTCATTAGGGGGCAGTTTTGAATGACATTCCCTTGCCCCCTCTCTGTCATGTGTGCCCGTATCTAGCATAGCTCCAAAGCAGGAAAACAAGGGATGTGACATAGACCATCCCCAGCAATGGTCAGGAGCAGCTAGACACCTGGCTTGCTGCGTAAGTGTTTCGCTGTAATTGTGTGACACCGTCCTTAGCCACACAGTAATCCAGTGGTGAGATTAAGCACCATGTGAAGTTTCTTTTTGGTTCTACAGAAGGATGCCTCCTCTGCTCTGTATATCTTTGGGGTTATTCTGTTAGAAAAGAAGGATGTCTTATGGAAAGAGATCCTTATGCAAAACAGATATAGTACATTTTCTGTCTGTGTTCTTCTTTGTTATTTCTGAACTTGAATCTTCCCTCTATTTGAAGGATCATTGTAAATAACCCATGGTATAAGCAAAAGCTTGTGTGCTTAGCCTGGTAAAAACTGCCACAGCAAGGCTCCAACAGCACAGTGGAAGTGCACCAATGAAGTCACTGTGACCACAAAGGGACTAATAAAAAGCCAGCTCCGAGAGTCACCTTCTCCCAGGGAATGCTGCRCTGAGGAAGCCACAGCTTCAGTGCCCATGTCCCCGGGAGCCCTCGCACAGCGTCTGCAGCCTGGCTGCTGCAGGCAGCGAGCACGTCCCTGCGGCCACCCCGTGAGGCTGCACTGGCAAACCCAGCAGCTCCCCAGGGAGGCACGGGGCCCACCGTGTTTCTGAACCCACATGGCCACAAAGAGCACCCCGAAGCACGTGGAGCCGTCGGGCATCTCTCTGAGGGTCTTGGTGGTGAGCAGGGACTCTCGTGCTCCCCCTCTCTTTGCTCTTAGAAGCTCTCCATGCAGGCAGCAGAAATGGCACTGGCGATTCTTCCATTTACAAGCATTTAATCAAAGGTCTTGGGTGATGTATTTGTCTCTTTAAAGAGAATTGCGCCAGCTTGCAGCTTTTTAGATAAAGCTATCTAAAGGCCACTCCTTTTCYACGCCTAGACTTTCTTTCTTTCGTTCATGCTGAAATTAAGAATTAGTAGTGAGAAGAAGAACAGTTATTGCACAGCTTGCTAACACCTGCTTCTGATGATTTCTTGTTCTCAGCTCTGCCACAGCCTTAGGTACACACTGCTTATGCCCTTGTCTGTAAATAAAATTGTGAAGAATAAAGGAAACGTTCATTCACTTTTGATGGCAAGCGCAGACAGACAGCTGAGCCCAAAGTGCTAGAGAATAACAAATGCTGCTCAAATCTCCTAGAGCAGGTTTATTATCTAAAGATTTCTTTCCCCTTATTACCTGTAGGCAATATTTTTCTTACAGTAAGGAAGTTCTATAATATATCTTGGGATTTGATACTTTTCATCAGAAACCAACCAAGGGAAAGTCAGTGCAGTACCCAGCGAAACTTCCCTCCCCCAGCATTAGCTGGGCACTTTACCAAACCCTATTCCACTTGATCACAGTAAAATCATACACCAGCCAGCACCAAAGGCAGAGCTAGAAGAGACTGACTATCATAGGTTAATTGCACCGACTCCACTTAGAGAGGACACTTATTCATACCCTTTTTAAGGGTTAGGCTTTCCAAGTACCCTCAAATTCCTCTGCTTAGCCTATTTGCACATTTTCTTTTTGGCTCAACTGCTAAATCAACTACACAACTGAAGCCTACTAGGCTATTAATGCCCACAAAAGTGATAGGTCAAAGACCTCAATAGGTCAAAGGGAGAGCTTCTTGGATAATCTTTTCATTCTTCACATTACAAAGCTAAGCCTGTGAGAAATGATTTCTGCTAGAAGCCATTAAATTCTAAGGATTTATTTTCTAATASAGTGCTATTTTGAAAATGTTCTGGGGAAATAATTGTCACTTTTTGCTCCAACCAAGAGATTAGAYGAAAACGTTGTTCTAGTCCCTGTCCCTATGTCCTAGTTAGAAGGTCTCCAGCTCAAAGGATCCTTCATGACACCCTGCACTTTCTTCTGGTGCTACAGYGAGGTCTTGGTTTCTCCATGCAGCCCATGGTAAGATTTGAGTGTTGCTCTCAGATTGTCTTGACAGGGTCAGAAATCCTTTTTCATAAAGATGTCTATTTTCAGAAAGAAATGACCTAGTTATGTATGTAGATAAATACTGAAGCACAGATTACAGCCCTTGCTTCTGTTAATAAATGGTTTCTGAAAAAGACAGAAACCACTTTTAACATCCTTAAAATAAAATGGTTCTGAATTAGATAGGCAAAGACTTTCAAAATCATTACTAGGACCTTTCTTTCCTCTGTCCTCCTCTTTGTGTAAAAGTTCTCATTTTTATAAAACAAYAGCTCTGGCAAACAAATATACTTCATTTTCCTTACCTGATGGGCAGTTGGGAGAAAAAAAAAAAAGTCTCAATGCAAATAGTGAAATTCCTTTAGACAGGTTAGGTGCAAGGCCTGAGAAACTTCCCTAAGCTTAAAATTTAACCCTGGGTGTTTATGATGGGMTGCTGGACTTTTTGTAATTTTTTGAAGGATAATATCAAATAAAACATTCCAATTAAGAAAAGAGCTATTTATTCTCCTAAAAAGAAAGAAAGAAAGAAAGGAGTTCTTTCTGTGAGCTTCTGCTTGCAACCCAGCCTTTCATGTACAATTTCAAGTAATCATTTACTAGGTAAGCTAAGTTTTCTTCCTCTTTCTTTTGAGTGGTTCATGTTAAAGATTGCCATCTCTGAGAAGCTGGGGAAGTCAAAATACATTTGTATTCYGTGCAGGTCTTAAACTGAGGATTCCCAGAAGATTCATGTGCTTTTTTTTTCCTCCACACTGAACAGGGTGCAACAGAGAGCTCATCTGCAAACAGTTTGGATAAGAATTCATTATTTCATTCACATACTGCTTCAAGTAAGCAAAGATGAAAGGTCCTTTGCATGGGTTCCAAAGTATGAGTAATTCCTGGTTTATTTAGAATGAAAACAAAAAATATGCCCATTTTTTGTCAGTATGGTTTAATTGTTTCTCATTTATGAAACAGAAAATACAGTCAGYGCACTTCTCCTATTTCAGATGATTTGCAGAGGCTCAGTGCTGAGGACTGAACAAGCAGCAATAGATCTTATTTTCTGCCCACTATGCGTTCATAACAAAATTCACTGATATGGTACTGGATACGACTTCCCTGGATCAAAGATCAGCGCAAAGACRAATCATGTTTTCAACCTTGTGTCATCAAAGCAAAGTTCATTTTGACTGCATCGCTTTAGTCCTATATCTCTTTCAGCAGTAGTTTTGAAGTAAAAAAAAATCCTCCCTGTTTCTGACCGAGACTTGTAAAAAAATGTTTACCAGTGAAGCTCACCTCTTCGTTCAGAGCTGTTGCAGAGGTTCCTCTATGTGCCAACAATCTCTGAGAGCTGGGAACATGAGTACCAGCAGAGAGCTAAAATAGCAACAGGGGAAATCTCTGAAAGAGCCCAGGATGCCAAAACATGAACTTGGACACTTCCCAGAGCCGTAGGAASAGTTGTTTTATCATATAACTAATCTGTGTGTGCACATATATATAAATATGTATACATACATAGCCATGTAAATGACAGTTGACCATGACAGTTGCCATGACCTGTAATGAGCTGGGAATTCAATCACCATGCGATGCAGATTAAAAATCATGCTTAATTTTTTTTTTCCTTGATGGCAATGCCAGCTTAGAACATTATTGTGGGGTAAACTTCAAAAATTTATTCTGCTTCGACTTACTTGTCAAATTTTACTAGCTTCACATCACTCATATTACAGCAAGAAAATAGGGCAGTCAATTTCAGTTGAATTTCTTGCCAGTTTTATTTTTACTCCTCAAGACCTATTCAAACTTTGCAATGTTTTGAAGCATAGAGACCATTCATCAAATAAATTCTGAATACAAGAATAATCTCATTTGATACACGATCCCCAAAGAATCACTGCCAAGCTGCTCACAGAGATAATTTGGCAGGCAAAGATGAGCTAATTGCAAAGAAAAAGAAACTTCAGAGCAACAGTTATGATGCTGTTTACTCACAGTAAAAATTTCTGATCCCGTCAGTCACATTTGTTTGTACTCTGAACGGTGTTTTCTATTACATGTATATATATATATTTAGTTAACAATCCTTTAATTATTCATAGTCTAGATGAACACCAGCTTTGGTACGCCACCACTTTGATACATGAAGCCAACCCCAATAGCATTAGCACATAGCATTTCATGGCACTGGATTTTAGTAGCTGAAGGTGTACCCTATGCAGGCAAATACATGTGTCAGTTCTGAATGTCCTGAATTTCATTTCTAATACCCAAAAAGACCAATAGGAAAATGCTACCCAACTTTATTGTCTTGCACTTTCCCTCTTAGCCACGTCTTCCTCTCTTGTTCAAGCTCCATCTCTATGAAGCATCTCGAAACAAGCAAAAACCTTTCACAATTTAACCTTTAGCTGTGTCATAAAT